TCACACACACACACACACACACACACACACACACACACACACACACACACACGTTTACAGTCGTGTAAACCCCTCCCAGCACATATACATGCATATGGTCCATGCATGTCATATCAGGACCCTCTTTAAAATGTGCTAATGCTTCAGAAGGGCCTTATCCTCCTCATGTGATTTAATCAGCTTGAACTGCTGGCATATTCACAACCATTCACACTAAAAAGAAACAACAGCAGCTGCTAACTTTTGATTACATAATAAGTGGTTCAGAAAGACTCTCGCGTGGCAGTGAGACGTTCACAGCTTCTAATTGAAAAAGCAGCTCGACAGCTCCAGACCAACACACTTTAACACGGCTCATTTCACCTCTTTAGTCAGTGAAGGGGTTTCTGGTGCGGCCCCGACATGTTCACACATACAGCCTAGAGAATGCTGTTAAGAAACCTCATCTAATCTTACGGTAAACACAAGAACACATTTCTACTGCATACATGACAGCTGCCTGGAGCCCCACAAGTCTATTTCAAGGTTTGAGAATGGACATCTGTTTAAAAAAAAAAAAAGAAGAATGCAGCAGCTGGCAGGAAAGTTGGCAGTTGAATTTATCTGCGAACAAAAAATGCAAATAAACTTCCTATGGAGTTTTGAGTGTCTGTGTCGCTCTGTCAGCTTAAAACAAGAAGAGTCAACCGTAGTACCGTATCACACTGGCAGCATGGCAACATACTCACCATCACAACGCTAACATGCCGATGTTTAGCAGGTTAATGAATTACTATCGTCAGCATTTTAGTTTAGCACATTGTGCTAATATTTTCTTATTCGCACAAAACACAAAGTACAGCTGAGGCTGATGGGAATGTCACTCATTTTGCTGGTATTTTGCCAAAAAACTAAAATTTTAAACTGGTTATGGTGCTTGAAGAAAAGCCAGGATATCACCAAAGTCCTGAGGACTGATCATTTAGGAACCCTGAATCTCTGTTACCAGTCCAATAGATGTTGAGACATGTAAACTTGTAATATGGGATATTGAGCTGTATACTAAATGAAATTGACTTGACTAGCTGCTAGCATATGGCTAAAAATAAGTGACGCACTGATTGAATATTCTGATCCAAGTAAAATGTTTAGGTACCTTCTGACAAACTATTATTCTAACTCTGCTCTTTACTTGATCGATCAATAAATATGTAAGTCTGAGTGTCTCACCATTTTTCATATTTTTTACCCAACTAATGATAATTATCATTATCAACTGATTGATTAGATGCAATTTGAAAATGGTAAAAAAAAAAAGTCCAAATTAGAAAAATATATTCACTTTTCTATCACATCAGACAAAGAGAAGCAGCAAATCGCCACATTGGAGAAGCTGGAAGTGACAGATTGATGACACTTTATCAATCATCGAAGTTGAGTTAATCCACTAATTTATTCCGCTCTAAAACCCATATTGCCATTTTGCATTATTTTCACTATATAGACCAAACACTGAAAGCCTTTGTGAGAGCGTTCCTTCCTTTGGTTGGCTCTGATGTAAACACTGCCAGGATCAGTATTAAGAAGCCTGCACATACTCAGACTCTAACATTATTCTAACTTCTCAGCGGTGAGGTTGTGTCTCCACTCACCTGGAGAGATGAGGGGCTGAGCACTGATGGTGGTGACGCTGCGGCTCATGTTTATAGCTCGGACTTCTGTGACCGCTGCGCTGTCGCCCTTCTTCCCCGCCTCAAACGAGCCGGCCTTCCCCCCCGCGGAGGCCTGCGCCACTTGGCCGGGGTTCTTGATGAGGGAGGCGGGCTGGATGGGCACGGGGCTCTGCTTCAGACTGAGAGCCTGCAGGGTCTGAGTCTGAGAGGAGGATGTGGGCGCCCCCTGCTGGCCACGGATCACCAGATTCTGGACCTGATTCTTGATGGATACAGAATGACGGTAGAGATTTACAAAGTGGGTTAAAGGATCAGATATCAGTCAAAGATATTCTTAGCAATTTCACATAATCTAATGCACGATTTCCAGTTACTCGTAACTGTTTCTCTAAATGTTACATTCACCTCTGCATTTCTATTTCTTTTGACCAGAGGGATCAAGTCCAGGACGTTTAATATAAGCTGGTAATTATTTAGTGAGAGTACCCTCCACATGGCCCTACCTGTGAGGAGGTCTGCGTGGAGCTCTCTGATTGGACGGCCGTCACTGTGGCCGTTGGAGTGAAGATGATCTGCGGCGACAGAGGAACAGCCCGGCCCAGGCTCCTGGCCACCTGCACCAGGTTACTCTGCTGCGCCTGGAAAGCACACACACACACAACAAGTGATGGCAAGTTCAAACAGACAACTTTCCCGTAACCAGCAGCAAAATAAGCCAATAAATCTATGTGTATTCCTTCAGCATGCATGCACATTCAAGACATTGACAGTGTTTAACAAGCCCTCTGGGACACAACAGATCATTCCGACCACTTCCTCTGGTGGCAAAATGAGAATAAAGCGCACTATTTACTATGGCAGAGTAAGCACCAATCCCAAAACACACAGAAAGATGCACGCTCATGTAAATGTGGCAGCGGCTATGCTCCTTGTCTCACCATCTGTGCGCGCAGGTACATATGCGCCTGGCTGGCCGTGAATGTGGGGCTGGACGGGTTGCCCAGCAGAACAGCCTGTTGGGAAATACTGGTGGGAGTCGAACTGATGCTCTGGGCCCGGCTGATCAGCTGAGCGGTTGCCGGAGAGGTCGTCAGGTTGATCTACAGGGAGACAATGAACGGGATACTTAGGTAGGTTATGCACTTCCTTTACTGAACTGTCTATGTCATGTGGGTTTGGCATGTTATGAAATGGAAACCCACAAGCAAAAGAGAAGGAGCACAGCTAGTGGGGCGCAAAGCATCTTGTCACTAAAATCAGCTTAGTTCCATGACAATCTAATGGACAATGATAACGTTAACCTATGAGGCTCTTAGGAGACAGACCAGACACTACAAACTGCTCGTACCGTAGTCTGAGTTGATCCTGTTTGATGGGAGGAAGTGCCGTTCTGTGAAGAGCTTTGCCGGCCAGCTGCGATACTGGCCTAGAGAGAGGGGGGGGCAGGAAAGGGAGTAATTTGCAATTTCCTGAAACGCATCTTGGAGGGGGTCAACAATAACAACATCGTTGCTACACGGTGAGCGTGATTTTTTCAAGCGATGAGCGTCTGCCGACCTGCTGTACAGCGGCCAGGCTCTGGAGCTGAGCGGTGCTGAGGTTGTGCTGCTGCTGGAGGGCTGCGGTCTGCAGCATCAGGTGCTGCTGCTGAGCAGCGTACATCTGCTGCAGGTACTGTGCTGCTGTGTTGGGTCTGTGTAACGCCTGCTGGAACACCTGCATGTAAAGACAGAGAGAGAGCTGGTTATGTAATGTGCACAAATCAAATGATGTCTGGGTGAAAGATTAGAAGAGTAGAATATCTAAGAGTTGGTACACGACCACAGATCTGTCCCAAATCTGTCCAAATCATTTTGTAAAAAAAGTAACAATATCATCTCCAAGTCACGGCTGAAAGGAATGGGCTTTGAATGACTTGGGAGTTTTTTTAAATAGATCATAGACTGTGAATCTAGAGTCGATAAATATCACCTGACAGGAAGAGATTAACTCGCCTCTAGAGTGTTTCAAAACATCCAAAACTTGTGATCACCGCAAAGAATGCAGACCAAAATAAACCAATTCCCTCAATCATTGTCTGCAAGAGACTCCGTGACTGAAGCTCCGAAATAACTCTCCTCACCCTTCACCTCTGAAAGTGCCCTCTTCCTGGTTGCCAAGTAACCAGAGAGGATGTTGACCTGTGGTCCACAGAAGCATCCGGACCCGCACCTTAGGGGGGGGGGGGGTAAAATTGGTAGCAGAGACGCAACACGACTCTCGCTGACCATAAACGACCAGCAGTCCTTTGTGCTCAGAGGGCGACAACAGCGCTTGCCTTGTAGTTGTGTAATAGTCAGCCGGCTGAGTACAAGAGCAGGACGCTGTGAAGCATCAGCACTAAAAGTTAAAAGCCTGTGTAGAGGCTTATCCTGGTGTCAAAAGGGTCAGCAGCACTAAAGCACATGAAGCATTCCTTCCTTCAACTTGGGACAGATCCTGTGAGACGGCCACTCATTTGAGTTTCCTCCAGCGATGCGTCGATCGGGAAGACAAATGGCTGCTATCTCATTAACTTATTTCCAATTAGAACATGATGTGTTGGCTTGTATGTGGCGCTACAAACACCAATAGAGGGCAGTAGAGCAAGGGACAGTCATACGTCTGTCACTCACACACAATACCTCAACTTTACATCAAGCGGTCAACAACTTCAAGAAACTCACCTGCACTGTTTGTCGATCAGGTATCCCACTGTAAACAGATATCTGAGGCACTGTCTGTCTTCCTGCTGTAGTACTACTACTGGCAATACTGTTGGTGTTACTACTACTACTGCTACTGGAAGTGGTAGCAGCAGCAGTAGTAGTAGTAGTGGTGTTAGAGGTACCACTACTGCTGGCAGCTGTGGTGCTGGAGGAGGCGATGGTGCTGTTGGCCGTGGAGGCGGGGGCCCCCGGCTCGCTCTCCATGGTGCCCTCTGCTCTTCTCACCTTTGACCCCCGGCTCTTCTGAATGGCTCTCCTGTGCCTGAGGAAGAGAAGCGAGAGAGAGAGCACATGAGAAGATGTGCCGCACTGTGTACTTTCTTTACACCCGAACGTCTCTCATCAGATTCAAAGAAAAGAACACAATGGACGAGCGAAAAACAGCTGAAGCTGCAGAAGTTAAACTACACCTGTACGTGGCAGCTAATGAGCAGCTCAACACAGAGCAAATGTGAGACCAGCAGCACTTATGAAATGTCAAGATTTGATCTGATCAAGAAATCATAAAGGAAGTGAGTGTGGGCATGTCAGAGATGAAACATTTTTGGGGCTGCAGCTAACGATTGTTTTTATTATCCATTAATCTGAAGACCATTTTCTCAATTATTGGATTCATCTTTTTGTCTATAAAAGGCCCCAACATAGTGAAAAATGCCTGTTTCCCACAGCTCAACGTGCTCTATTTAGATAGCTCCTTTAAGTCGACTAACAACAAAACAAAGATATTCAGTTAACCTTCATATATGACAAAGAGAAAATGAGAAGCCAGAAACAAGTTTTTTTACTTGAAAAATTGACTGAAACCATTAACTGATCACCAAATAGTTGCCGATAAACATAGTTGCCTGTCAACTGACTCACTGCAGTAAATACCAAAGTAAAGCAAAGTTCTGCACAACACTCCTCTGCAGCAGGATGAGAGTCAGCTGGGAAATGAAGGATTCTTTTGAAGTTTATTTTTATGCACAAATCCTCAGCAGGAATATCAAATGTAAATGTAGGAGCCTGTTAAAATAAACTACCCCTGCACTGTCCTGTGATTACAGACAGAAACAGGCAGGTTCTGAAAGACTTGGCCTAAAGTATGACATCATTCTCCAAAAAAAAGAAAAAAAAAAAAAAAAAAAAAAAACGAAAAGCGAGGCATGGCACAACAAAGCTGGTTAGGGCAGCGCACAAAAATGCCATTTGGGAAGCTAATGAAATCCAGAGAAATTAAGCATAAGAGGTGGAGCGGCTGGCTAACATTAGTGGTCTCCCTAAATGACATCTTAAAAAGTGGAGCGTGTCACATACAGCAACACACACACTTAGTGCAAGTTAATTAAGAAGGCAGCAGGGGGCTCCCACTCCCATCAGAACCGCCCCAAACAACAAACTGTCTTTATTAGAAGTGAAGGCCTGATTATTACTTAGACTCTCTCAGAGAGTACAGTGTCCTTCTTAACAACAAGTTCATAAGATAAACAGCGCCACGTCCATTTCTTCTCGTCAGTCAGGAGGAAGAGAAAAGAAGGAATGATTTACCACCCTTCCGTAAAAGCCTTTTTAAGGTTGCTCCCCTGGTGCTCTGCTGTCCATTAGCACGGGAGGAAGAGGCTCAGAGCTCTGCAGACAGACGAGATGGAGGAGGAAGAGGCTCAGAGCTCTGCAGACAGACGAGCTGGAGGAGGAAGAGGCTCAGAGCTCTGCAGACAGACGAGCTGGAGGAGGAAGAGGCTCAGAGCTCTGCAGACAGACGAGATGGAGGAGGAAGAGGCTCAGAGCTCTGCAGACAGACGAGATGGAGGAGGCTTCGGCGTGACAGCTGAGTGGATGCGAAGAGGAGGATGGGAGGAGAGGAAGGATCCTTCCTCGGTGGAGGCAACTGCCAAGTTTGTTCAAAGAATACGGAGAAAGTTCAGAGGTCTTTCTTTGATGAAAGCAGGGCTCAGATGGGACAGGAGGCCTTGAGATGCTGGTGGTGTGTAGAGGACGAGGTGGGATTAATGAGTGTGTATGTGGGGGGGGGGGGGGGGTTTAAACAGCTGATGTGACAGAGCTGAAAAGAGAGGCCAAATCAGGGAGGATGGAATTTATAGCCTTGAGGTTAGAGGTGTGAGCATTAAGTTAGAGGGGGGGAGGTTGAGTGAGCAGGTTGAGGGTTTTAAAGGGGTTGGAGTGGAAAGAGGGTGTGATGGAAGTAATTAAATAAGGACCAATGCTGCCGCCATGTTGCAGTTCTTAAGCCATTTCCTCCTCCTCATTATTCTTTTGAACGGATTAGGGGCCGGGGCCAAAGAACACGGCTCTACAGCCCACTTATGCCACAAAGCAGACGAGGAAACAAACTGCAATCTCACTAAACCAAATGTTATTCTTTGAAATGGCAAAAGCAGTTCAGCCCTAAATCTGTGAATGAGAAACAGACTGGAAGTTGAGTTTGGCTTTTGTTTGGAGAATTGTGCTCTAGCTGCTCATGAATTAGGCAATTAGTGACTGAATAGCATCCAACCATTTAAATTAAATATGCTTTGACATGCAAAACAGAAGAAATCTCTAGAACACTATTCTCTAAGCAAGCATGTCTGGGGTCATCCCAAGAAATGAGGACACTTTGAATAAAACATGAATATCAAACCCAGACACCCCCCCCCCCCCCCCCCCCCCCAACTGGCAGAAATTAAATTTCGTAAAAATATAAAAACTAAAATCAGTTGTCGCCCCCACAACAAAGGAAGAGTGGGTTTCCATTCAGAAGCTGATATCTAGAGGACTCTCTGGTTGTAAACAAAGCACCAGCTCTGCCAGTATGCCGTCATTAGCCTACATCCCAGAGTCTGCTACCCATCATGTGTGGAGAGGGGAGGGAATCCCCTCTGGTAATGATGCCTTCATGCCCCATCTTTCTGAGAGGAGTCAGCCATCCATCAGTGAAGAGATGCAATAGAGAACAACCACCCCCACACACACACACTCCAATCCTTAACCCCACTTCCACATCTACAATCATGCCGTGAGATGGTTTAGAGATGGTACCCACGAAAAGTGGTGAAGCCAAGAGTGTTTGAAAGCAAATCAAAGCAGTTCCAGCAAACAGCCAGTCAGCACCATAACAACACAATGTGTTCCTCACCAGAGAACATATTGATCTGCTCATGCTGGCATTACAAGACCGCAAGAAGCGACTGTCAGACTTGTGTCTGGAGGATCTGCGCGGCCTGCAGGAAGAGGAGAGCTGTTAAGAGACTGTCAGACAGACTGGCTGTCTCTACAGAGCTTAGATCACAGTGAGGAAGTGCAGTAGCCTCCATCAGTGTGCATCCTTCAGTGCACAGATAGGAAAACTCTTGACGACCCACATTAAAAAAAAAAAAATACCACTAGGAACGCCGCACAAATCGATAGATGTGCGATAATGGCTTTAATAGCCATGAGATCCTGAGCAATGTTTGCTTGTGTGTGTGTGTGTGTGTGTGTGTGTGTGTGTGTGTGTGTGTGTGAGAGATGGGGTACTCTGCTGCTGAGACAAAGCCCCCTAACCCCGGTGCTCCTACCTCCTCCGGCCCCCCCAACGCGATGCAGGGGTATGATGCCCCATCCCCCGGGAGCGTGCGGTCCTCCTGCAGGATGCTGCTCCTCTTTGTCTGCCTGGCTGACTGAGTGGCTGGCTGGCCGACGGACTGAATGAGTGAGCGTGTGTGTGTGCGAGCGCGTCTCTCCGTGCCGTATCCCAAAAAAACCCCAGCACCTCTCTCTCGTCTACCCCCAACACACAGCATCAACACCCCGCTCCACCAACCAGGCCACGGGCTGCCTCCTGATTATTTGGTATCCTAGCGACAGCCAACGGGGTGCCTATGGAATCCCCGTGCAGAGCAGCGTGCTCATTGGTCAGCAGGACGCTCTCTAATGAAGATGATGGTAATGATTTTACTCCGTCTTTCCCCTCCCCCTCTGCTGCTGCCTGAATACTGATTTTTTTTTTTTTTTTAGGATGCTTAGACCCTTCAACATAAGGTAGACTGTGTAATCATCACCTAATTGTTTTTTTGTTAAATCCAAGGTAATGAGGCATTTGATTTTAATGACAGCATATGTGTTATTTTGTTTAGTCTACGTGTGGACAGATGTCTCCATTTCAGTGCCTCAAATTTGAGGGTCGACAGGAGAAGTTATAGAAAGCACTATTTCCACAAATAACCAGCAGCAGTAAGTGGGCCAATTTTGTATCATAACATTGAGCGATGGACAGGAGCAGTAACTCACGGCCAGAGCATTGAACCCATCATCTGACTAGTAGCACAGTAATCATCAATTTTGTGACTGACACTGATGCTATGAAATAAATAAAATCATGATCCGTCAAGACGCCCATTACCCAGTAACTGTCAGTTGTGAGGTAGAATAATTTTTTTTTAAAGTACCATAATCCTGCTAAAACCGCACCTTTAAAGTCCAAACTCCACTAATAATATACTTCAGGATCTATGAAGTCGCAGCAGGAAAGCATCAAACCTCCGACTCATAGCAGTTATGGAAATAAAATGCTCAACAATAAGACTAGAAAATTGCAACCCTCTCCCTAAAATTGAAACGGGATATCTTTGCAGCTGAATCCAAACCTCTCTTTAACAACAGCAGAATTCATTGATGTGAAATAGGAAAGATAAAACCAGAGGGTAATGGCATACTTATGCTCTGCCCCGCCACATTAGCGCGCCACCCAACCGTCTGGCTCTATGAAATGTAGCCATTTGAACCGTTTGCCGGTGCAATGTGGTATTGATTGGGGCCAACCATGCATGATCCCCATTGATTATCATCTTCTCATTAGCATATAGATTAGCTGGCGGTGCAGCCGGAATCATCGCAAGCCTCCAGTCACACTTGGCAGACAGAGCCAAGGGATCAAAAGTAAAATAAAGATAGGAGCGGGGCGGCTCAGTACGGCGTGAGCCGCTTGATGATGGACGTCAACATCTGAGAGCCTGGGACTCTCAGATCAACAGAGAGCAGTCGCAGTGAAGTGAGGCGGCAGGGTGGTGCAGCAAGGGGCTTTAAAACAAATAAGCCCCAGACACCTTTTGTTCAAAAGAGCATTTAAGCTCATTATTAATTTTAAGAACGCTGACGCCAAACAAGCTCATGGTGGGAGCAGCATAATTATAAATGGTCTAGGCACCATATGAGCCTTAGCTTTGAGACACCTACATCAAAGACATCGCCAACCAATGCACTAAAAAGTTTAATGGAAAACATACTAACTCTATACTCGTTATGATTTATGTGAAAACTTTTAAATGAAACCATGTCAAGTGACAAATGAGCTACTTAATTAAACGCCGTAGTCCTTTAAAAACAGAAAATGGTTTCTTCCTGTAAGGGGATGATTCTATTGGTTGAGTTTGTCTGACTTTAATTATGAGCAGTGCCTGTTTATAATCACACAGGGAGGATGTACATCTGCCTGCCAGGGTCATCAAGTTTTATAGGACAAAGTGTTCAAGCTGGTGGAAATTTCCTCAAAAAAAAAAAAAAAAAGAGGGGAAAAAAGAAAAGAAACCAACTACGCTGTATGCTCGCAAGATTATAGGGCTGATGAGTCAATCGAGAGAAAATGTACAATAATAGATTCTAATGATAAATAGCTTCTCAGATGAGAGGATTTGCAGCTTTGTGCTTTATGTGAAATTGTAACTTTAATATCTTTGAGTTTTGGACTCTTGGTTGTGGAAAAACAACCAGCGTTGACTCTTAAGGGGAAGTTCTTCCGACATTTAAAACACAGATTCTTAAATCGAAAAAGTAAGTTCAGTGCAGTGATCATGTTGAACTATCAAATCTTAACGTACATGTCATATACAAGGACGCACCGGTCTGACCTTTTCAGTCCCGATACCCGGGCTACCGAGTACCGATCCGATAGCGGCGTTTAGTCAATAAGCTGTACGCCTCACTGTGTGGAAGTGACTGGGATCATTCTTAAGGCAAGATCAGGCTCGACTTAAACATTGCTTTCCTAACTTTGTTAAACAAAATGCAACAAATAAATACATAAATGTACTGAATTGTTATCTACTAAAATAATGGTATCCGATACCAGATTGGCCCACTGTCACCGACACCTGATCCGGCTATTTGAGTCCTCAGCGGACCGAAAAGAGTATCGGTGCATCTCTAGTCTCCTATATTGTGGTTCATTTCTAATGACTGAGAGGGAAAGCCCTGCTGTTTAGATGATAACAGTAAAAGTCAGATTCCTCTCCAGAGCAGCATTTCCTCGGTGTCCCCCGAGGGCTACGCCGGTCGATGGGTCTTGTCCAAACAGAGCGAGCAGGGCACTGCCTTTGTTACAGTGTGTAAGACAGAAATACCCCCTGATCCCGGGGCCAGATTGGTCGGGTAGCCGTAATTGAGCCGTCTCACTCAGACGGACCTTCCACAGCAGAGTAGGCCAGCACAAAGAGACGCTGGCTGCTTTCCAGGTTAAGTGTGCAGAGCGTGTGTGTGTGTGTGTGTGTCCATTACAGCGCACACATAGCTTCATGCTGTGAAGATACAAAACCCTTTCACTTGACTCTCCCCAGAGGGCCGTGGTCTCTTTCATGTTCAGCTTTATTTAGTCAGGCCCCCGGCCCGCGAAGCGCCGATTGCTCGGTGAAATTCTCAAAAAAAAACAAAAAAAAAAACGCTCAAACTGTTAACAACTCTCAAAATAAACGCAGGAGAAGCAGACGGAGAAGCACAAAGATAGACTGGGGCAGAAAACGAAACGATCTATAAATACCGCAGTTAAATAGTTCTGGCAAAGCTCGCAGATTAGCAACGAGCTTCAATCCCGACTGTTCAATCAGAGCTGTCTCCGAGGTATCACTCTCGGTCGTCGATCGCACCGAGAGGAGAAATAAAATAGGTCAGGTATGAGCCGAGATGAGCAGCAGCACGGAAAAATGTGGCGCTTCGCTGCCTTCATCAGACACGAGCACTTTAAATTTCCATCAACGCCAGCAGTGGACCAGGCACCACATCAGAGGGATAAGAGAGACACCTCCAGGTCACCGGAGACTCGGGATATCTGCAAGGATGTATTCCTTTATCAACTTTCTATGAACTAGAAGACCAAAATGACATGGCATTCATATGTATGCTAATAAGGTTAGAAATGAAGGACCTCATTTCCCTTTCATTCGGAACAATATTAATCTCATAACAAACATCCTGATCACACACTGTGTTGTTCAAAGCAGACGCAAAGGTCGAGCTGATCATCTATAAGCCGGCTCCCTGAGGTGGATTTAAAGGTCACCACGGGATCGGAGTGCTCTTTGATCTCATCCGACATTTTGTAATGCACTTCCTGTGTTTATCTATGGAAAAAAAAAAAGCACAGCCTTTTAATATGATGAACCGTTTCACAAACATCTTTGACCGACGCTCTTCATATTAATAATAAGTGGCGAATGCTGTTGTTGTCTACTTTAGTGGAACACCGCTTTGACTGTAGTCTGCACCAACAGACTCTTACCGCTGTAACTGTGCTGCTTGGTGCAGGGGACTAAACACCACTCTATATTTGTACCTGTATTGAATACAAACACTACATTTTCCAGCTGCCTGCAATCACTTGGTGTGACGAGCACAGATTACTTCAACACGTGGGAAGCAAACATGTGACATTTGCTCAAGGAAACGTTTCCAAACATCTCTGTTCCTGCATTTTTCCAGCAGGTGGATCTTTGTAAAGCTTCTCCGTATCATGCCGACTGTCAGTAGGCCGACAACAACGGAATAAAGTGCAGATTCTGCTCCCTTCAGTCATCACAGCGTCAGGGCACAGTTGGATGTCGATGACTTCACCCATTCAAACCCATTTAGTAATTGTCACATTTGCACATAAAGAGATCTAAAAAGATGAACACATATGCACTTGTTATTACAAAATCAGACATGAAATTGGCAACAACAAAAAAGCAATTATTTCCTGATGTCTTGCACACATACTGACAACATGTAGGTGACTATAAATGGAAATTCTGGCTGTTTGTGTGTAAAAACAAAAAAGACACTGAATGAGAAAGCATGGCTGTTTTATGTTCAATGGCTCAGATTGGTCGTTTCATTGATTGACGTTTGTCCCACCTATCATGTGCAGCTATTAGCTGATGCCACAGGCAGCTCTAATTATTGTCAATGAAGAGATTGTTAGCAGCAGACAAGTAAAGGAACCTTAGACAGCTTGAAAAATGTGCATTGTCAAATAAAATACTTAATTTAAGAAAAATGAATTGTCTTTGCCCTGCAGCTCTAAATTCAGTTCATTCAGAGTGAAGTGATGTCAACCAAAAAAAGCCACAATATTATATTATTCTCATCTTATAAGAGAAATGTGCGTCCACTGTGGTTATTAAAACTTGTTTCAGCTCTATTCCTCTCTTTTAACATCATTGTTAAACAGTTAATTAATCAGGACTCTGATCATATTTGTCTCTTAAGATTGTTTATTTTATGTGCCTTCATTTCTGATGTGAGTGGGTATGTTTGCTCAAAAGATTTGTGCTTTGTCTCTTCATGGCGCTTCACATTGCTGATTTTAATAATCTTCACGTTCTCAGGTGTTTCTAATTAAGTTTTGCATGTAAATAATTACCATACCTTTGTTAAATAGCTGTTATTACACACCACAATTCCTGTTCATGCTGTGCATAGGAGCTGTTATCGAGCATTTGGATTATGGCAGCTGTGGTCGAACTATCCTTTGCTATATTTTCATCATTTCATCTGTTAAGTTAGATTAGTAACGAAGGGCAACAATGATCATTTCTTCCATAACACGTGTATTTATATGCTGTGGTTCAATTTGCTGTATATTTCTCTCATATTTGTTTCAGAACCACACCCACCTATCCCTCAATATATGGCAACGACAAAGAAAACGTTCAATTGGAAAGACCAAGCGTGTGATTCAAGCCCTCGACTAAGAAGCGGTTCTAATCGTATGCTCCTGCAGAGATTCAACTTCCCACATCTGCGGTAATCTTGAGAGATTTTTCACTGTGACTGCAACTGGCACATCGCACATACGGGAACACATCTGGTGAGTGTAATGCCATTGAAAGCATGCCCAGGTCTGCTGCTTTTGCACTAGAATAAGATCAATCCAACTATTTCCTCCTGAGTGAAGGCATCAAGCCCCTCTGATGCTGCTCACGCTTTCCTCTGATAGATGTAGCGCAAGAAGCAAGAGAAAGTAAAGTGGGCACAGATGACGGAGCGTCACACCTCGCATTTAAATATGTCTAAACAAAACATGAGTGTGACGTGTGGCTCTCACAATAAACAAATCAGCCTTTTCATGACCCGAGATAAATAGCACACGACACCTTAATGCATGAGACCAGGTGTCAACTATAAGAATGGATGTGCAATTTTCTCGGGCAAATTTTCCCACACTGTGCGATGTTTAAAAAGAGTCACTCTATTTTATAATAACCGCTCGTCTTTCTGTAAGTGGATAAAGCGAGCGCCCCCCCCCCCCTGTAATTAACCCCGGCAGCCGTGAGGAAAATCTATGAGCTTCTTCACTGAGCCTGTTGCTGCTTTTTATATTTCTGAAATAAGCAAATTACTGGGCATGATCTGACTCTCATATGAGGAGGTGGTACCATAGGCAACAATTGTAGGTGCTCGGGATCTGAGGCACCCATGGCCTGAAGTGACCTTATCTGATGAGTAGTCATGTTGCCCAGTGAAGCAAAATACTGGAACTTAACCTGTGTCCATTCCTGTTTCATATTTACGTCGTCAGACACTCCCCTAAAAGTCTTGACCAATCAGTGGTTCCCAACGGATGTGAAAGGTGGCACGTGTCATCAGGCATCACCTTGTAAAGCGGCTGTGTGACCTAATTGAACAAAGGCCATTGCAAAGTGAGTTAACCACAACACACGCTGCCCATTAAGAGCCCCACATCAAGTGTGCCTGTAGTCAAATGCACTCGGTGCTCTCACTTTTGTCGCTCATTTAACGAGCCACGAATGTACTCATCCAGCATCTGAGAAAGAGTGGCATGCGAGTGTGATTAGCAGTGAGTGTGTGTTGTTGTTTTTTCTCCACTTGGTGAACCCTACTCAGTCTTGATGTTTTGCAGTGCACCGATATTACATCTTTACATCTATTTATTTGACTCGGTCTGTAGAAGTTCGGCGCTGGTTGTTTTCGACTGATCAGCCTAAAGTTACAGTGATGTGACGTCTTCGCGTGTATTACAGATACGCTTTCTACACATTTGTGTGTTGGACGAGAAAAAGTCAATCATGTTTCGGAGAGCTGAAATGACACATCATTGACAGAAACTTTAAATCAGCTATTTAGACACAAAATCCTATCAGTTACTATTTACATAAGCAATTGATTGTTTGTCATTTTCCATGCAAAAATGCTAATTTCCTAGAAAACTGCATATCTCTGCATTCCAGACTATAGCAATTTGAAGATGTTGTCTTGCATTCTGGGAAATAAACAAAGCAATAAGAGCGAGAGAAAAAACGCATGATCTATAATGGAAACAACTGTTAGTAGCAGCCCAGGTGCCAACACACCCACGTGACCATACACAGTGTGTAAACCAAACACAGACGCGCTGAAGGGCTGGCTGTAGCGGTGATGTTATTCTGACTACATTCAGGTCACTGGAGGGCCACGGCCACACTACCCCAGCTCTCCTGGAGCATCGGGGTGATGACCTCCACTTAATGACGAAACTCCTCCTCTGTGCCAAAGGCCATGACCTCTGGGACCGAAGTTCCTGTGGTGAGCACCTGGCTAACTTTAGCAAACGTCTTTAGAAGGATGAGGCAAAGCTTAAACTACACAAGCCGAAGAAGAGTTGCTGTCGCTGGCCATAACATTCAGTGAACACACTTTTCTCACGCACTGACTTCCATTCATAGCTCATTTTCTCCTTCCCTCGCGGGTACTGAATTCCTTCACAACATTGGCTAACGCTAGAGCTACTTGGGTTGTTGTTCACCACCACACTGATTCTAGTTTTAGCTGGTTTTATGGAGACACTGCAGGCTAAACGTGGCCGTTAAACAACGTTAGCAAGCAAGCTAGAAGCAAACGCTGCTGCTGTTGTTGTTTTGGGGCCCCGGACGGGAAGACGTCAGCTAATACGACCCGTTAACTTTACGCGTTCCGACACACGTAGCGTTTGCGTTACATACACACGCGGTGACTGACCCCCGCCCGTGCCGAGCGTGACACCCTGTGCGAAGAATCAACTTACCGTTATCGTAAAAAGCCTCGTAGCCTCGCAGTCCCTGGCTGTTTTTCCTGATATTCACCATTTGTGGACGGTGGCTCAGAGAGGGAGCAGAGCAGGGGTGGGCCAGAGCAACTATTTTGCATTTGTGTTCCTAGCTGACAACGTGACGTCAATCTGACCAATCAGAACAGAGTATGCTATTTGACACCGCCCCTTCTGCTGTCAGCCCTCCTCCCCTCAGGTCCAACCCTCCTCTCCTCCCCTCCCCTCTCCACCCCGCACGCCTTGTGACTGGTTCCACGCGCCTGTCAAGTAGCGACCGCTGGCTTCATCTCCATGGCAACAAGGGATTTAACCCTTGCACTGTCCTCTATTTACACTTTCAGCTACAGAAGTATCCAGATCCTTTACTAGAGTAAAAGTAGCAACAGTAGAAATAGTCCTGCATTCAAAACCTATAGAAGTTTAAGCAGAATTTACTGAAGATAAGATAAGATAGATAAAGGAATTACTGCTGCTGTGCAGCAGTTGCATGAAAAAGTGGGAAAAGTGAAATTATAGAGTGTAAATTCCAAGGTAACAATGATAAGGTGCAAATCCAAAATATATACAATAAATACAATGTCAAGATCAGTTAACAGTATGTATAAAGAAATAAAAAAATGAACGGTAAGGATCAGTCTAGGTGTATGCATGTATCAGATCTGAAGTATAGTTATAAGAGAACATGGTTGATACAGAAGGTTCATGATTATGTCATTGATATTGCAGTTAATGCCCCAAAGTATAAAGTAAAAGTAGGCCTACTTAATGTGCAGTAAAATGGTTTTATTATTATATATGATGCGTTTGGATTAATATCCCTGCCTTATATAAAATAAACTGTACACTAGAGGTATAAAGTTGTGTTGAATAAAGTATAAAGTAGAAGTACATCCAACATTAACAGTACTGAGTTGTGTTAGTGGGCATGGTCTGTGCTCAGCTGCAGGGGAGAGATGTGTGGGAGTGGTTCAGGGTTAATTGGCACAGATATAACCTGTTGCTAATTATCTCTGACCTTTTTAAGCAGTAGCAGGCTGACTATATTGTGGACGCTGGACTGCGTGTGCTCGGAGGTGTTGCAGTTTGTGTGAACAGTGTTTGTGTTGAGGAGGACCTGCGAGTGTGAGACGGCTATATGAGTAAATGCACTTAGTCACATTCTACTATTGGTGGTTTTCAGCTCATATTAATAGTGACCATAGGACCAGAGCAAAGTCTTAAAGATGAAGATATATTCTAAACGGGACCACTAGCTGGTCGAGATTTGGGATTTTGAGCACTTCAGCAGGTCAGAGGAAGCTTTTGTTTTCTTTCACAACTGTTTTACTTGCTTGTCCATAGGCTAATCACTACAAAGTACAATTTATTGTTTAATATCTCCATAAACAATAGAGGATTGTTGCCCCTAAATTAAGACCATTTTGGTGTTCGTGCGACAAAATAATCTCAATTGAAAAATGTGTGTATTTGCTTTCTCTGAATTCTCCCTCGCCATCGCTTGGTCTTCATCAGCAAAAAAAAAACCATAGCCTGGACATTTATTAAATTAAATTAATATATTTATTTCAAATGTAGTACTTTATTTCTATATTCTTTTAACTGCTTTTTTTAATATTTTATTGAACTTCTTTTTCTTTTCTTATTGTGATGTTCTTTCATTCTCTAGAGGAGAATGATGAGACTGTGCATACATCCACAAAACCTTTACTTGGTCTCTTGTGTATATATTGTGCGTCCTATGAGAAATATTGTGATGGCCCGGTAATATCAAATACAGTAAAGATGATTGAAGATCCTTTCTCTCATGCTGGACAACAAGCATTGAATCCAAGCGACCGAGCACAGTAATAAATTGATCAGCCATGAATGGCTAACGTTTCAGTGAGTCGCTATTGTGTTCCTCGCAATATGAGCAGGGAGTGCATACATCCGCCCGCAAATACTGAATCATTTATCAGAATATGACTTATTTGCTTGGCCCTTGAGTTAATTATCTGGTCTTTCATAGCTCCCTTGATACCTCGCTCGCAGCATCAGCGTGAGCACAGTATCATTCCAGCTACTCGGTTAATCCCCAAAGGCGCATAATGGGCTCGCAGCCAGACACACTGTGTGATATTAATGTTGCTGCAGAGGTGACGCTAAATTCAAGCACTGCTCTGCTGGGCTGGAACATACCTGCACGGTGAGTTTATGCAAGATAATGGGCCAGATGTAATGTGTAGATAATACATGAGAATCCTAATGGAATATTTATGTGGGCTCCCGTTCAGCTTGGTTGATCCTCCATTTCAACAAGGTCAGGGATTGGGTGGTTGGTTCTCTATCAGCAAGCAAAGTGTCTCTGTGTCTGCACGGTGCTGCTCACTGGTTTGAAACGGAACATGATGAGATATTATTATTTCGTCTCACAACTTTAACCCTTTCTCCGTGTATTTGCGGTTGACAAAAATTAACTATAACATTGTGGTCGCCTAAAAGCACCTTATTCAGCGTTTGGTTTTACATCTGGTTGTAAAAAGCCAAGATGGCAAAGGCCAAAATGTCGAACTTAAGGCTTCAAATCGGCAGCGCACTAACCAATGGTGACGTCACAGTTACTTTGTCGACTTCTTATATACGGTCTATTATTTTTACCGTGTGTGTGTGTGTGTGCGTGTGTCATGGCAAAATGTGGTCCTGTAGACTTCTACTGTAGCAAGAACTACTACAGAAGAGGTTTCAAGTCCTTTTCCAGGTGTTTATATTTCTGTCCTTGGACAGCTGTTATGACAGTGATAGCAGATGGAGGCCCGTAATTATCCAGGTGTGTAGTTTAGATCAAAATGAAGGCCGAGTTCGAAGATGGGTGTGGGTCGAGCTAGGGCGCCGGAAGTAAGGGGTGCTATGAGAATTGACCCCTTCCCCAGTGACTATGCATCGTTGCTGGTGTGATCGCATCGTAAGATGGCCTCTAGTTGAATGTGTTTTACCATTTCAACCCTGCTGACCAGCGCTAGGGTCAAAACAAAACATGAAGAAGATAGATAGATAGATAGAAACTTTATTCATCCCCAGGGGGAAATTAGATAAGAAGAAGCATTTATCTTGAGTATTATAGCTGATCAAAGCTGAAGAAAATATTTTCTGTGAGAATACATGATAGCACAGCCTCCTGCTGGAGAAACACACAGGTAGTGTTTGCTCATGTAATATGTTTTGATAAATGATGATAAAACACTGATCTTACCCAGTAAAGTACAATTCTTACAATTTAAAGGTTTAATTCTCAGGGGAAATTATTTGAATTGACAGGAATATCGTCTCTTTTCACAGCTCTTTTCGATAATCTAAAGCTGTTGCATTACTTGCTGCGATTTTATATTGTGACCTAAATGAACCTCAAAGATTCAGCCATCTGCAATTATATCTTTATACCACCTGCTATCTGAATAGACGGTGTCTAATCTTCCATTACGCTCATGATTCGTTCTAAGAAAAAACTGTATGTTAATTCAACGCCATCTTGAATACAGTTTAGTGTGGCATGTTTTAAACGACCTCCATGTTTAACAGTTCACAGCTAAAGCAATCTGTCGCTTTATCTCAAGGTTGAATAAATCAGCCTTAAAACCCATGACGAGCTCTTCTCTGACACATAATGACAGCACTACATTATAGATTGAGGTGATGGGAGAGCGGGAAGTTGCCCCTTTAAGGGAACAGTAAACTGTGAGTGAGCAGAACTGACTGCCACTTGGAAGCATTAACGCTTTGTCATTTAAAGAAAACACAACATGGATTTTTGTCCCAGAGAATATTGTCAAAACCCCCCATAAAACCAAGGAAAGCACCACTTTTTTTGGCTTATACATGCAGTTTGTACACGCTATACATGTCGTATAGTGACTCTATGGTGACTGAATAAAGGAGTAGATTTAGCCTCAGGTGGAGGTCAGGAAGAGTCCAAAGAGTCTACAGTTCAGTCAGTAGGTATTTCTTCACCATTAGGGAGGGCCCCTACAGTAGAGAGGGACTATACCCTCCTCCCACCAACAGGGAACCCAAGGGATGGCAAGTTGCATCCTTTTTTTTTTGAAGTCACATTGTTCTATGTTAGATTGTTCTTTGTTTCATGTTTTGTTTTTTTGTTTGGGTACGGATTGCAACTTGACTTCATTAATAAAAATGATAGAGAATAATATTCAGATACTGTCGTTGAACGTGAACGGTTTGAATAACCCTGTTAAACGCTGGAAAATAATGACAAAAATAAGGAAAGATAAGGCACAGATTATATACCTACAGGAGACACACTTGTCTAGGCAGGAACATGAGAAGCTTAAGAGGTTTGGCTACGCAAATACATTTTATAGTTCATTTCACCAGGGTTGTAGAAGAGGTGTGACTGTTCTCATATCTAACTCAGTGAAATTTGAATGTATTAAAGAAATCAGCGATAAAGAAGGCAGATATATTATTGTTAAAGGAAAGTTGGAAAATGAAATGGTGACATTGGTAAATGTTTACGCCCCACCTAATAGTGAAAAGTCCTTCTTTAAAACTCTACTTGATAGTATTATTCTCAAAACGGAGGGAATATTAATATGTGGAGGTGACTTTAATATTGTCATGAATAGTAATCTAGACACAACAAACAATAAGAAAAATTCCAATCATGTCACAAAAACGATCAATACTTTATTCAAAGAATTTGGTATAGTTGATATTTGGAGAGAGTTGCATCCCACTAAAAGGGACTATACACACTACTCGGTACCTAATAAAAGTTAACCTGGAATTGACTATTTTTTTATGAATAAAAAGGAATGTTTAGAGTTATGGAGTGTGAAATTGGAGCAGCAGATGTGTCGGACCACTGTGCAGTTTATCTTAATGTTAAGCTAAAACCACAGGACAAAAAAACGTTATGGAGGTTAAATGTTGGAATATTAAATTATAAATTGATTGTTGAGAAGATCAAAACAGAGATTGAAACATACCAAAAAGAAAATGACAATGGAGAGGTTAATCCTCCCATCTTGTGGGACGCTGTTAAAGCAGTTATGAGAGGGAAACTTATTGCTAATACAGCAGCTATCAAGAGAGCTAAAGAAGAAACGTACAAGAAG